GTCCAAGACCCCCCTTAGTCTATAAAAAAGGCACTCCCTCCCTTTATTTATATAAGATTTTTCTTTTTTTCAGTCTTTCAATTTAATTTGATTTTAACTTAATTTCAAAACAAATGCTACTGTTGTCCAATGAACCAGTTCATTAATTCTGGCCTTATCTGTTTGCAATTTCTTATAATTAAGTCAACTTTATAACAAGAGATCCCAGAGGGATCTTGGCGCCCACCATTTGAGGATCTGTTTTCAGTTCTTGAAGATTTGTTTATTTTTTTTTGTTTGTTACAGGTGTTGTAAATGTTCATGAACTGGTCTTTATTGAATGTACTCAATGATGGCACAAGATATTTTTATTAAGCACCTATTAGCAAATATCATTTGAAAAAGATCCCAAAGTATTATTAGATAGCAGTCAGTTACAGGTGGATAATGGACAATATGCTTGTGCTGTATTACTGTCGACATCCAAGATGGCTGCCTGTGGGCCACCTTGATTTCAAATCAGTCCAAAAAAGGTACAATGCACAACTAGGGACCAAGGGAAACCAATATCTATGAAATATCAGAAGGATCCATCCAGTACTTCCTCAGATATAGCAGTAACAAGATTTTTCTCTCAAAATCCAAGATGGCTGCCTGTCAGCCATCTTGATTTCGGATCAGTCCACAAAGGTATAATGCACAACTTGGAACATGCATATGAAATTTGAGAAAGATCCATCCAGTACTTTCCAAGAAATAGCAGTAAAAAACTTTTACATTCAAAATCCAAGATGGCCACCTGTCTGCCATCTTGAATTCGAATCAGTCTAAAAAAGGTACAATGCACAACTAGGGACCAAGGGGAAACTGCATATGGAATTTGAGAAAGATCCATTCAGTACTTTCCAAGAAATAGCAGTAACAAACTTTTACATCCAAAATCCAAGATGGCCACCTGTCGGCCATCGTGAATTTGAATCAGTCCAAAAAAGGTACAATGCACAACTAGGGACTAAGGGGAAACTGCATATGAAATTTGAGAAAGATCCATCCAGTACTTTCCAAGAAATAGCAGTAACAAACTTTTACATCCAAAATCCAAGATGGCTGCCTGTCGGCCATCTTGAATTCGAATCAGCCCAAAAAAGGTACAATGCACAACTAGGGACCAAGGGGAACCTGCATATGAAATTTGAGAAAGATCCATCCAGCACTTTTCCAGAAGTTTTATGAGTTGGAGGGCCGGTGGGTTGTATTGATGATGGCCAACCAGTGATAGAAGCAGAAATAGAATCCAGAACAATGAATACTTTACCTGTGTCATAACCCCACCCCTAACAATATCCTGTGTCATGACCCCACCCCTAACAATATCCTGTGTCATGACCCCACCCCTAACAATATCCTGTGTCATGACCCAAACCCCTAACAATATCCTGTGTCATTACCCCACCCCTAACAATATCCTGTGTCATGACCCCACCCCTAACAATATCCTGTGTCATGACCCAAACCCCTAACAATATCCTGTGTCATGACCCAAACCCCTAACAATATCCCGTGTCATAACCCCAACCCTAACAATATCCTTTGTCATGACCCCACCCCTAACAATATCCTGTGTCATGACCCAACCCCTAACAATATCCTGTGTCATTACTCCACCCCTAACAATATCCTGTGTCATTACCCCACCCCTAACAATATCCTGTGTCATGACCCCAACCCTAACAATATCCTGTGTCATGACCCAAACCCCTAACAATATCCTGTGTCATGACCCCACCCCTAACAATATCCTGTGTCATGACCCCACCCCTAACAATATCCTGTGTCATGACCCCACCCCTAACAATATCCTGTGTCATTACCCCACCCCTAACAATATCCTGTGTCATTACCCCACCCCTAACAATATTCTGTGTCATGACTCCACCCCTAACAATATCCAGTGTCATGCTACCCTACCCCTAACAATATCCTGTGTCATGACCCCACCCCTAACAATATCCTGTGTCATGACCCAAACCCCTAACAATATCCTGTTTCATGACCCCACCCCTAACAATATCCTGTGTCATGACCCCACCCCTAACAATATCCTGTGTCATGACCCCACCCCTAACAATATCCTGTGTCACGCCCCCAACCCCCTAACAATACTCTGTGTCACGCCCCCAACCTCCTAACAATATCCTGTGTCACGCCCCCAACCCCCTAACAATATCCTGTGTCACGCCCCCAACCTCCTAACAATATCCTGTGTCACGCCCCCAACCCCCTAACAATATCCTGTGTCACGCCCCCAACCCCCTAACAATATCCTGTGTCATGACCCAACCCCCTAACAATATCCTGTGTCACGCCCCCAACCCCCTAACAATATCCTGTGTCACGCCCCCTTATGAAACAATATTTCATGTCATATTTCAATATCCAATCACCATAATAATTCTTTTTGTTACAATGAATAAGAGTCAATGGCAAACAGCCAAACCCTATTGGTACAACTTAATTTTTCAAAACTTCGTGTCTAGAGTTTATATTCTTAATTTTGCAATCTTTGTGTCTACAAATCAGTTCTTATGATTATAGGGGTGACTTTGATCTGTCAAATCTAATATAGATAACAGAAAACTGAGAAATTATGAAGGTTTGAAGTGGTGAAGGATAAATCTTACAAAATAAGGAATTCAGTAAATCTAGTATCACCATTGTATGTACATGTAGCCCTGTAAATCTGTAACGGATGAAAAGTCATGTGATCACTTTTGATATTAACTCTAATTCTATCTGAACAATAATATATCTAATTACTTGTGTTGTGCTATGACATGAAAGAACTTTAAAATCACATTTACTTTCCTACCAATTTCCTTCTGGCCAGTGTAACTAATCCAAAATATATGCATATATTTACAATTCTTCTCCTTCCATATAACTGTTGTTACTAATGTCACCCTTTCATAGATCTGGTGTTACTATTCCTAATTACTAAGGTCATTTTTTATTGGATCTGCTGTTACTAATGTCATCTGTTATTGGGTCTGCTGTTACTAGTGTCATCTTTTATTGGATCTGCTGTTACTATGTTACTAATGCCATCTTTTATTGGATCTGCTATTACTAATGTCATCTTTTATTGGATCTGTTGTTACTATGTTACTAATGTCATCTTTTCTTGGATCTGCTGTTACTTATGCCATCTTTTATTGGATCTGTTGTTACTGCTGTCATCTGTTCTTGGATCTGCTGTTACTAATGTCATCTTTTATTGGGTCTGCTGTTACTAATGTCATCCTTCACAACACACTTTACATGGCTTGCAGACCACAATATACAGCATTTTAAGCCCTCTAGTGTTTGATATAGCGTTGTTGTCAATTAAAAATTGTTTTGTTCCTTGCCATGACTGTGTCAGTGAGATTAAATCTATAGCCATATGAGATAATATGTATTGTTATCTTTTCTACAATGTTCTCTGTGTACACAAGAATTTATTCAATTAACTATTTGCATCATGCTTTTTTTATGTCAAAAAACAGGTTTGCAGATTTGCTTTATTTTATTGTTTGTTGGTGCGTTAGTGATGTGGAAGCTCTGGTGTCAGCTCCAAAACCACCAGCTTCCCTTAGGATACATTAGGGTCAATCTGCTGCAAACTTGTTGAGTGCAGTGCCAATTGATGTTGATAGGGTGGTTCATGAAATACAAAACAAATGTCGGTCTGTCAATACAATACTCTATCTCTGGTGAATTCTCAAAGTACATCTAGTATTTAATTTCGTCTGTTGAAAACTATGTTATTATTGATGTTTGTGTATGCCCTTCAAAGCAAACTGATATTATTGTGGAAATCTACAATATATTTCCAATGGTTGTGGTCCCTTGAGACCATTTGGAATGTCTTGAAGACCAAGTCATTTCTGTGAGGCTACACTATCCTGTGACCATTCGGTAGTCTATTGGTGGACACTATCTACTGTCCAAGTGTCATTTCTGCGGTCTACACTTCAATGTGACCTTAAGGTAGTTCAGTAATGGACACTATCTACTGTCCTAGTGTCATTTCTGTGGGGCTACACTATCCTGTGTCTATTAGGTAGTTTATTGGTGGACACTATCTACTGTCCTAGTGTCATTTCTGTGGGGCTACACTATCCTGTGTCTATCAGGTAGTTTATTGGTGGACACTGTCTACTGTCCTAGTGTCATTTCTGTGGGGCTACACTATAATGTGACCTTTAGGTATTTTATTGGTAGACACTATCTACTGTCCTAGTGTCATTTCTGTGGGGCTGCACTATCATGTGACCCTTTGGTTGCTCACTGGTGGACACTATCTACTGTCCAAATGTCATTTCTGTTGGGCTACACTATCATGTGTCTATTAGGTAGCTTGTCTGCAGATGCTATCTATTTTCACACCTGTGTGAAAAGTTCACCTGACACACCTGTGTAAAGTTTTCTGACACACCTGTGTGGAAAGTTCACCTGACACACCTGTGTGAAAATTTCTCCTGACAGACTTTTGTGTAAAGTTCCTTGATACACCTGTGTAAAGTTTTCCTGACACACCTGAGTGTAAAGTTCTCCTTACACACTTGTGTGTAAAGTATTCCTGACACACCTGTGTGGAAAGTTCACCTGACACACCTGTGTGAAAATTTCTCCTGACAGACTTTTGTGTAAAGTTCTCTTGATACACCTGTGTAAAGTTTTCCTGACACACCTGAGTGTAAAGTTCTCCTTACACACTTGTGTGTAAAGTATTCCTGACACAACTGTATGAAAGTTTTCCTGACACACCTGTGTAAAAAAGTTCTGACACACCTGTGTGAAAAGTTCTCCTTACACACCTGTGTAAAGTTTTTCAGGTATTTGTTTAATGCAAAATGTTGCTTAAATTTTTAATATAACACATTTACAGTAGTAATATAAAAATGTCTACCTAAGCAAAGTGTCTATATATAGGTACTAGAAGGTACAAAGGTGGGAGCTTTCCTCTACTGGGTACTTACATTACTGGCATCTGTAACTGTTGACAATGTAGAGGGCACTGACATCTGACTCTGTATGCTATCTGTTCGACGGTGTTCAGGTGTGTTGTCCTGTGTGGATGTGCCACTGACATGGCCACTGTCCTCCAAGCTCCCAGATCCCTCAGAACTGGCTCGCGGTGACAGTTTGGGTGGGACGTCCTTCTCTGTAACAGCAACAAAACCCTTCTGATCACCCATGCCTTTGTATTAAAATTAAATCTCTATGATGCTGAAAAGTGAAATCAATATGCGCTGTTAATAGGATTCCGTGCATATCATTTTTGCAAGCGTATGATACAGCAGGATATAAAAAATAATTCATTAAAAACACGGATCAATTGGAAAGTTTTCTAGATAAGCTGCAAGCTAAAAAAGGAGTGAGAGAATGGGCGATGACAAGCAAGGGAAAATCTTTGAAGAATCTCAGTTGAATTTTTTGGATAATGAACCTTACACCATCTTGAAAATGCACTTAAACTCTGAAAGATATTGTTAAGTCAAGAACCATTATCTGAGGTTTTCCTCAGAACATATGTCAGACGAGCTGTATAGAAATAATCAATGATCCTAAAGTCACTTGTGATGGCCTTCACATCTTATATCCACCATGGAAGGATTCAAGCAAGCATGATTTCTGGTCTAAAAACTTCCAAATTATCTCAAAGCTCGTGGTTTATGAACACATATATCTAAGTCCGCAATGGTAACAGTTGACAGCATCCAGCGTGCCTTTAATTATCTCCTAGCTGCATTGTCGGAAGTCATATGTCACTCTTACAGCAGACTGTGCTTTTTAAACACCAACATATCTAAACTGAAGTTATGGTCTCTAATTTGCTGACTTGCTAGTGTAGAACCTAGATCCTTAACAAGTTATGTGATGGATTTAACGTACATAACAGATACAGTTAAATTAGCAATGGGTTAATCAGTAGTATTTTTGTTGTTTACAACAATATTTCTGGTACACTCATCTGCTGAAGGATTAAAAGGCCACAATAGCAAATAAATTGCAGTTTGCATTTTAAGTCAAAACAAACAAACAAATGCATTTTATCGAACTTTGTACTATGTCACAAAAGAGAAATTGATTTTTTACACATAGTACAAATATAGACTATGTGTAATACAGAGCCATTTTAAACTCAACACCAGGTAAACAGCATGTATAATCTCATTAATTCAGAAATAAAATATAAAAGAGACTAAATTAAAACTGTCATCTAGTAGTACTGACTGATTCAATACAACTATAAACTAAAGCTAAAGTGAAACAAGCTATAAATACTCTGAAGTCATTGAGAGGTAGTTACTGAGACAGTAGACACAATGTAGGGTAGTTACTGAGACAGTAGACACAATGTAGGGTAGTTACTGAGACAGTAGACACAATGTAGGGTAGTTACTGAGACAGTAGACACAATGTAGGGTAGTTACTGAGACAGTAGACACAATGTAGGGTAGTTACTGAGACAGTAGACACAATGTAGGGTAGTTACTGAGACAGTAGACACAATGTAGGGTAGTTACTGAGACAGTAGACACAATGTAGGGTAGTTACTGAGACAGTAGACACAATGTAGGGTAGTTACTGAGACAGTAGACACAATGTAGGGTAGTTACTGAGACAGTAGACACAGGGTGGGGTAGTTACTGAGACAGTAGACACAATGTAGGGTAGTTACTGAGACAGTAGACACAATGTAGGGTAGTTACTGAGACAGTAGACACAATGTAGGGTAGTTACTGAGACAGTAGACACAATGTAGGGTAGTTACTGAGACAGTAGACACAATGTAGGGTAGTAACTGAGACAGTAGACACAATGTAGGGTAGTTACTGAGACAGTAGACACAATGTAGGGTAGTTACTGAGACAGTAGACACAATGAAGGGTAGTTACTGAGACAGTAGACACAATGTAGGGTAGTTACTGAGACAGTAGACACAATGTAGGGTAGTTACTGAGACAGTAGACACAATGTAGGGTAGTTACTGAGACAGTAGACACAATGTAGGGTAGTTACTGAGACAGTAGACACAATGTAGGGTAGTTACTGAGACAGTAGACACAATGTAGGGTAGTTACTGAGACAGTAGACACAATGAAGGGTTGTTACTGAGACAGTAGACACAATGTAGGGTAGTTACTGAGACAGTAGACACAATGTAGGGTAGTTACTGAGACAGTAGACACAATGAAGGGTTGTTACTGAGACAGTAGACACAATGTAGGGTAGTTACTGAGACAGTAGACACAATGTAGGGTAGTAACTGAGACAGTAGACACAATGTAGGGTAGTTACTGAGACAGTAGACACAATGTAGGGTAGTTACTGAGACAGTAGACACAATGTAGGGTAGTTACTGAGACAGTAGACACAATGTAGGGTAGTTACTGAGACAGTAGACACAATGAAGGGTTGTTACTGAGACAGTAGACACAATGTAGGGTAGTTACTGAGACAGTAGACACAATGTAGGGTAGTAACTGAGACAGTAGACACAATGTAGAGTAGTAACTAAGACAGTAGACACAGGGTGGGGTAGTTACTGAGACAGTAGACACAATGTAGGGTAGTTACTGAGACAATAGACACAGGGTGAGGTAGTTACTTAGACAATAGACACAGGGTGGGGTAGTTACTGAGACAAAAGACACAGGGTGGGATAGTAACTGAGACAATAGACACAGGGTTGGGTAGTTACTGAGACAATAGACACAGGGTGGGATAGTTAAAGAGACAATAGACACAGGGTGGGGTAGTTACTGAGACAATAGATACAGGGTGGGGTAGCTATTGAGACAATAGATACACTATTGGATAGTTACTGAGACAATAGACACAAGGTGGGGTAGTTACTGAGACAATAGACACAGGGTGGGGTAGTTACTGAGACAATAGACACAGGGTGGGGTTGCTACTGAGACAATAGACACAGGGTGGGGAAGTTACTGAGACAATAGACACAGGGTGGGGTAGTTACTGAGACAATAGATACAGGGTGGGGTAGTTACTGAGACAACAGACACAGGGTAGGGTAGTTACTGAGACAATAGACACAGGGTGGGGTAGCTACTTAGACAATAGACACAGGGTGGGGTAGTTACTGAGACAACAGACACACAGTTGGATAGTTACTGTGACAATAGACACAGGGTGGGGTAGTTACTGAGACAATAGACACAGGGTGGGGTAGTTACTGAGACAATAGACACAGGGTGGGGTAGATACTGAGACAATAGACACAAGGTGGGGTAGATACTGAGACAATAGACACAGGGTGGGGTAGTTACTGATACAATAGACACAGGGTGGGGTAGTTACTGAGACAATAGACACAGGGTGGGGTAGTTACTGAGACAATAGAAACAGGGCAGGGTAGTTACTGAGACAATAGACACAGGGTGGGGTAGCTACTGAGACAACAGACACAGGTCGTCGGTAGTTACTGAGACAATAGACACAGGGTGGGATAGTAACTGAGACAATAGACACAGGGTTGGGTAGTTACTGAGACAATAGACACAGGGTGGGATAGTTAAAGAGACAATAGACACAGGGTGGGGTAGTTACTGAGACAATAGATACAGGGTGGGGTAGCTATTGAGACAATAGATACACTATTGGATAGTTACTGAGACAATAGACACAAGGTGGGGTAGTTACTGAGACAATAGACACAGGGTGGGGTAGTTACTGAGACAATAGACACAGGGTGGGGTTGCTACTGAGACAATAGACACAGGGTGGGGTAGTTACTGAGACAATAGACACAGGGTGGGGTAGTTACTGAGACAATAGATACAGGGTGGGGTAGTTACTGAGACAACAGACACAGGGTAGGGTAGTTACTGAGACAATAGACACAGGGTGGGGTAGCTACTTAGACAATAGACACAGGGTGGGGTAGTTACTGAGACAACAGACACACAGTTGGATAGTTACTGTGACAATAGACACAGGGTGGGGTAGTTACTGAGACAATAGATACAGGGTGGGGTAGTTACTGAGACAATAGACACAGGGTGGGGTAGATACTGAGACAATAGACACAAGGTGGGGTAGATACTGAGACAATAGACACAGGGTGGGGTAGTTACTAATACAATAGACACAGGGTGGGGTAGTTACTGAGACAATAGACACAGGGTGGGGTAGTTACTGAGACAATAGAAACAGGGCAGGGTAGTTACTGAGACAATAGACACAGGGTGGGGTAGTTACTGAGACAACAGACACAGGTCGTCGGTAGTTACTGAGACAATAGACACAGTGTGGTTTAGTGACTTAAACAGACAGATGATGTAAGTAACAAACATCCAAACAGCTGATGGAGGGAAATGACATGATATCAGACTGATGAAAACAAACACCCAGATTCTGTTGGGGTAGTCATAATATATTCCAGGGAAGACAAAATTCTGTGTAGGAAACCTACAGTTGCATGACCATGTTTTAACAGTTCTGTTTGGACCCAAACTAAGACTATCTTTTAAATAATTCATACCCCTTCATATCTCAACTTTTAGAAATTTGCATCGACAGTCGATGGTTTCTGTCTTTACTATAAATACTTCCAGTGTTTACATGACATATATCTTACAATCAATACTTAACAGGCCGGGAGCTTTTACAATACATCTGTTTCACTTTGTTTTAGCCATTTGATCTACATTAGTTTTAAATAGAATTATAAGCTTCTTGTCCAAAGCCCTGTAAGCCTTTGTCAGTTGAACAAATAACATCGCTGTACTCCTTAAGTTCAAATTGAAAATAATCACCGTTAATTTTGTCTTAATCAACCCAGGAAATTTGATCAAACTTGGCACTCAATCTGATACAAGTGTTTTGTGAATGTCTATATTGCTAAACATAAGGACATTATGTATGATTGCTGTGAGTATATAGTTTCTATACAGTGCCTCCTTTGTGATATGGTATAACAGAGTAAATATTGTAAAATAAAGGGCATTTGAAGGTCAAAAGGTGATATCAGTAATTTGGTTCATTACTAGTTTCACTAGATAATCACAATCATCTCAAGGTAAAGTTATACAGACATTTCATGTCTTCACATGGTAGAGTAAAAAAATATCTGACTTCAGGTGCTGGTAGTTGACCATCAGTAATATGGCACAAGGTCAGAGTCCAACTGCACTA